ATTCTATAATTAGACACATATCATATTGTCATTAAAATATTTCACTCTAAAACTATAAATGATGTCATCATTTACTAATTTTTATTTTATTTTATTAAGGAAAGTGATAAACATATCTACGTATAGGAAAGTAAAAAGAAAATATTTAGAATAGAATAGATTAACATTAACTACACTAATCCGTGCGTGATTCTATCATATGAACTCCCAATTTAATTCCATTTTAGGAAGTATTTAATGCTTTATATATATATATAAATATATATATATATATATATATATTTCCATCCGGTTCACTATTTGGGTTAATCCAGATTTAAGGATCAGTTCTGAGTTGTTAAGTTCCAACACCCTCCCAATTGTTTTTGCGGGATGATCGAATACGTACGGGTCCTCTCTATCAAGTGTAGTCTCAATTATCATTGCATTTACAACCAATTAGTATTTAATGCTTATATATAGTCATAAGAGCTACACACATCATTACCCTTTTATTAAAATTCTGGTCAACTTTATTATTAGTATTAATTTCCTAAAAACGTTAATTTTCGAAAAATAGTCTATTTTCTCGTACAATAATAATTTAATTATTCTTCCTCAAGTACCCCCGTCTTTTCGTCATTCAATTTTTGTATGAGCTCTAATTTTTTAAATTAATATTGGATGTATTAGTTTTGGAAAAATTTTATTTGTTTTTAATTTTGGTATAAAAAATAAACAATTTACAAAATTTTATATGTTCAAATCCTTCATCGTACAAGTCTAATCTAGTTAGTTTCTAAACCTATAACCTTATACTTCATATAATTGATACTTATTAGGAAAAAAAGTGTGATTATATTCTTAACATATTACTCCACATTGAATTACACACAATATACACTATCAAAATATTAACTTTATTAATAAATAATAATGATTGAACTATATGTTCTCAAACATGAAACTCATTCAATTTTAAGGAAACATAAATATTCTTTAAATTGGAAAAATCAAAATAAAAAATAGAAAATGAAGAGAGGGAGCCAAAATAGATAAAAGTGAAACAGTAGAAGCAGAGAAGACAGAAAACGGATAGTGAGGAAGAGACAAAGAGGTAGAGATGGGGATTGATTATAAATTCTGGAGAAAATTAAAAGTGGGAATCTGACAAATTACAAATATAATAATAATACAAAGTACTCACTTATTTATGTGAGTATTAATAAGATGTTACGAAAATGGTGCATGGGCGTGTCAAATGTCAAAAAAATGAAAAATGGAAATGATAACAAGTAACTGTTCACATAAACACCTGACGTCAGTTGATAGCGATTTTCACCTTCTCTGCTGGGTGCAACCCGAAAAAGACCGCCCCTGCGACCCTGCCCATCTTTTTTTCTTTTTTTTTTTAAAAATAAAAAATAAAAAATTATTATCATTGCTTTCCTCATTAAATTGTACTTCTACGGTTCTGCTATACATAAATTATCATAAAATTTTAGGTTGTTTACTTTATTTATTATGATAATCAAATTTATTCTTTATAAAAGCATAAAGTACATCATCATTCAAAAGAAATACAGAGTATAAATTACTTGACATACGCTTAATCAACAATAATATTAATTAGTTGGATTTACTATGTATTTTAAAAGTTAAAAATATAGTACTTGTATTTGTATGGGATGTTACCGGCTACCAATAATCCGGTATTGTTTCTGGAAACAGAATGCTCCTGGGAGTTTTAGGGTAGTCAAGGTAATCAAGATGTCCTAGAACTATGTCCAATATACGAATTTCCCTCAGCTACGCCTTGCTATCCGAGAGCTAGGCCTGCAAAAGAAAGAAGGTTAACTACCCCGGGGGTGTGACCCGGGAAAGCCCCTCCGATGCTTAAGTCAGCGAATGTACCTTTTAGTGAGAGAAAGTAGAGAGAGAAAGAGTACTTTAGAGAGATAAAGTAGAGAGGGAAGATTAGAGAATTAGGAAAAAGTTACCATCATCAATGATTGAAGAGCTATTTATAGATATACTTCAGGTGGCAGAAGTTGTACTTAATTGGACAGATTAGGGGTAAATCCGTACTTTGCTCTGACTAATGATGGGCTGGATCATGGAGGGGTATTTTCGTAATTCCAGGTCACTGGGCTTAGGACAATGGACTAGGCCCAAACAGGTATGACTTGGGTAATGGGCAAGATTTATGAACATGTGCGGATGGGTCCTATCTGGCATCATCTTTATCGGTAAAATATCTAGGTCCACACGTAAAGAGCTGATTCCGATCACATGGAAACCTTTCATCCACTTCACAAGATGTGGCATTCTCTCATATTTTACTTCTAAGTTACGATTTAATTACTCTCAAATATTCAAATTACCTATTATACCCTTCTCAAAGGTAGCTCATTAGTGTTAATTGTGTAGGTATCAAATTAGACAAGTTAAGAGATTTTTATAGGCATCAGATCAAGACATAAGTTTCCTATCCATATCGAAATAGTATTTAAAAAAAGATATATAGCTAATAATAACGATGCGACCGGATCGGACACGGGAGCAAGAAGCATTAATCACAAAGAAGCTAAAGAATGAGTAATTGTGAGGTGACAATATAAACATGTATCCTTAGCGTGTATCATATGTGTATGTGTAAGTTAAATTGATGAATAGTAAAGTGGTGGAATGAATTGGCATTATTAAGCAAGAATAAAAGCACGCAAGTAGTAGCACACTACATACATACAAGATACAATTGCAAATAGAGGGAGAGGAATTGAGGAAGAGGGGCCGGGGACAAAAGGGAAGAGGTGCTGCACCCTCTGAAACTGATAGCTAGCTTGCATGCATTTGGTCATCACTCTCATACTACTCACCCTTATCATTATTGTTATTGATATTATTATTACTACTACTTCATAAAATACACCAACAACACTTGAATTGAAAGGTGTGGTGTAAATTCCATGTTATTTACTGCCCCTTCATTTTAGACAATCAAGATATGGCTGGGACACTTTCCATGTGCTTCCACGTCCATTACCCTTTATATCGCCCTAATACTACCTTTATTTATACGGTTATACCCCAATTTATCAACACTATATTCCCTTTTTTAGAATTACTAAACTTTTTTCACATTAGCTAATAACCCCTATTTGTACCAAGTATGTTACTGTATTACATTATGGATTCCAATTTCCTTAGCAGTAGTCCTATATATGTCACATCATGTTTCATTCCCTCCCAAAACTCAATTCCATATTAATTACGTAGTTTTATGCGAACTATACATGGAAAATGGTTGATTACTCATAAGATATGTAATGAATCCTCTGAGAAATGAGAAGATGGACGGATGGTTAGTCCCTCATTCCCTCTGTCTCCCCTCCTCCCCAAAAGTGATGGGAGTTTGATTCCTCATAACCCCCATTCCTGTGATAGGGTGGGGGACCGGGGGCTTGGCCTCTCCTTGTAGTTTACCATTAAAAAATAATGTAACAAATTCTCTTTTGACACCGACACAAAATAAGATGTATTTGGTATATATGTTGCTTGATAAGTTTTCACTTTTCAAAGGTTTTTATTTATTATTTATTTATTTATTTACACGGTAAAGGCCCCAACCGAAAGCTCCTATCACAGGAAGCTTGGCTAGCAATGCTTGGAGGGGTAGGGAATGGGATTTGTACCCGATGAGAATTGAACCTCGAACCTCAAGGATGTCAGGTTATGGACCCTGGTATGATCTAATTTATTTAACTATTGTAAGTTTACGTATTTAAAAAATGTACGTTATGATGAATTTAACAAGATATCACATACCACTTGAAATCAAAGTGATTTTATAAACAAGATCCTTATTGAATGGGAACGTACGAATGTACCTAAGTGGTACATGTAACAACTAAATTTAAAAGAAAAGGAAAAAAAATAGAGGTAAAAATATACATATACTATATTTTGATGACTGCAAACTACTGACGAGCAAAAATGATAGCTTAATTGTTATTTAACAGGAGAGCGGATGATCCTGTAGAATTACTCTTGCACTGCTGATTTACTCCTGCAGCAGATGGATGCATAACACTTAGATATTTGTTCGTCATTTAACAGTTCAACACACAACAACATCGAGTAATGACACAATTGACACCCCTCCAAAGTCCAGGCACGCATGTCAATTTACTTGGAAACACACACATATCCAACCAAAAAAATTTTAAAATAGAGAGGTGGTATATGCCACTCAAAACGATTTAACTTAAGGACCCTTATGCTTAGCTATCACACTTCTGAAATTTATGTTCGAGTTTTGAATAGTTTTTGAATTCAATACAAATGCTAATTTTGAAAAATGGGTGACTCGGGTTTATGTATGAACACGGGGTTATCTCTAGAGGTCATGTGGAGTGTTGCACTAACCCAAAACTAGAACTCAAGAACATGAACTCATGAGTGTGCAATCGAGATTTTTGTGTAAATTTCTTCAGTTTAAATGTACTATCTCCGTTCCACTAAGATTGTCCCATAACTTTTAGTTTGTTTTTTTAAAAAGTCGATTCATTATCATTTAGGGGATACCTTTTTGTGGTTGTATATTGTTTGTGGAGTGAGGAAGTCATACAATTAAAAAAATATATATATATACTACTGTATAAAAAAAATAAATAAATAAAAAATAAAATTAAAAAATGGGTCAACAGGTTTACTAGCTTAGGCAGTTATATTGTTAGGCTAAAATGGTTGGGTCAATGCATATGAAGTTGGGCCATGTGTTAAAGGTCCAGTAAGTGACTTAACTACAAGGTGTCTTGTCTTATTATGGTTGGTTGCCTGGCAGCAAATTGATGGTGGATCGCAACGTTGGGCCTAACAACGTTGCTATAAGACAGGTGAGGCCTAATGTGTTGGGCCTAACAATGTTGCTATGTACTCCATAAGTCCATAGTCCATAGTACTCGACTAACCCGTAGAGGTTTAATGTTATTTTTTTTTTTAAAAAAAAAAATAGAATAAAAGAAGAAGTGATTATATATTTATATCTAGGGCTGAGCAGAGTGCGGTCTAGACCGCACCAAACCGCAAACCGAACCGCAATATTACGGTTTGGTGCGGTTTACGATTTGAAAAGTACGGTGCGGTTTTTAAATTTGACCAAACCGCGGTTTAGCGGTTTGGTGCGGTTTTAAAAAAAATTTAAACCAAACCGCACCGCAAACCGCAATCGTAAATCGTAAAATCAATAAAAATACTAAAATTTAAAAATAAATTCAAAAAATAAAAAAATAAACAAATAAAAAAAATAAAAGATCCTAAGATTTTTTAAGGTTACTGATTTTATTTTGCAAAACCTAGTAGCCGACATATTCATCTCTTATCCTCATCTTAGTCACTATCCCTCTTCTCCCTCATTTTTCTTCCTCTCTGACTCTTTATATCAATTTCATAATTTCTACATCTTTTTCTCCTTCAAATCTTAATTATTGTGAGATCAAGACCATTGATTTTCAAACAAATCGACCACCACATGCAATCATATTGTTAATTGCTCGCCTCCAATACAATATTCACAAAGAAATCTGAAGTAAGTAGTACTTTTTTTAAAAAAATAATTAAATCTTTATTTAAAAATCTATAATATTCATGTGTAAATCTTGTATTTTACATGATCAATTGGTTATAAGCATGCGTTTTATACATAGTATCAAATTTGATTTTTTTTTTCATTTTATTTTTTGTTTATAACCTCTCAAATTTACAAGTCACAATTTTATGCATGTAATTTGTGTATAGTCTGATAGTGTCTTTAATTTTAAAATTTGTGCAACTAATTTATTAAATTTTTTTGGTCTAGTTTGTTTGTCTCATATAACGGAGTCAAGTACTGGGTCTTGCAAAGTAAGTTATTACTTCCTCAATTTATTAGCATTTTTCTACAATTGTAAATCATGTTTATTGATTTTACTTCCAACTGATTTATTTTTGATATTTTGACGTGTAGATGTCAAGTGCAGAAGGTAGTCCAAGTTCTGTTGGGACTCCCCTTGCTAATGATGATAATGAGAAGGTAGTCCAAGAAGGAAAAACCGCAAACCGCACCGCACCAAACCGTATATTGCGGTGCGGTTTGTATATAATTGCGGTTTGGTACGGTTTGAAAAAATCACAAACCACAATTTTGCGGTTTGAGATTCAAACTGCACCAAACCGCACCGTGCACAGCCCTATTTATATCTCTCTTCGGTTGCCTCCATTTAGAAGACTATTGAAATTTTTTATTAGGTGAATTTTATGAGAGACAATGTTGGTGGAAAAGAATTGGCTTAATTTGACAATATAGTCTATTATAACATGCAAAAACTTAATAGTAGAACATAGAAAAATACAAATAGTAGGATATAATGTAAGGTTGAAAGCCTAATGGTTATGAAGTATTGCCTATTGTAATTGTTTTGGCCAAAATCTGCTTGCTAGATTCGACCAGGTTCTATAGGCCAACAGCTAGATTAATAAGGATATGAATGATAGCGTACGTTCAAAGAATGGGGGTGGATAACCTACAAAAGATGAACAAAGGCGAAAGAGAAGAAGAGACACAAGATGATGACGCAGAAAACCCAGGAATAAGGATAAAAACTGCGAGTGGCGTTGAGTCCACCAATCTACTAGTTTCACAATGAATTACAGGTACAATACAGGTTGTTTTGTGACTAAGAATAAATCTATAATTTAGTACCAATTGCTAACGACTATGAAATATGATGCCTAGGGCTTGTATCTTGCCTTTTTACAATGGTCTTCCATCTTATTTATAATAGGGGAGTCTTTTGAAGTCTTGTAACAGCTTCTTTGATGATTCCTTGAAAGTAGGAGTTAGCTGCTAGGTTCATCTCTGAGATTTATGCCATGTTCTCTTTGTGTTTATCCTTTGCCTTTTGACTTGTTCTTTGCTGCTAGTTAGTCGGAGAATAGTGGGAGTGTCCTCCATGAAAATAGGAGAAGTAGTTTGACTCCTTGATTTGGTCTTCAACGAATGTGGACTAATTTGTGGTGCAGATATATTTAACATTTCCAATTGACTGATTCCTGGTGGGAAATATCTCCTCCTTGATTGTAGGAAAGCTTATAACAACTTTGACTTCGTTCAAACTTGGATTCTCTTAGAATATTCCTTGGAAGTATCTTTGTTTGATTTCGTTTAATACATGGAACCAGGTAGCTGATCACGTAGCAATCTGTCACCTGTAACCTAGCAAGTTGTGACCTGCAACCTAGCAACCTGCAGAAATCTAAACCTGTAGTAAAAACTTAGGCACAATAGTAATCAACTTGAGATCCTACTTCTTGTTGGTTATGCTTTTCGTGGCAAATAGTTAGTGTTAGCTTGTGGCTATATGGGATCATAAGAGAAAACACATCAATATGTGTGGGGTGACTCAAAAATTAGACATCGTATATTAGAATAAGCAAAACTAATTAAGAATTTTAATCAACAGTCAATAAGAAGTTAGTTAACCTTTGATATAGACTCTTGTTATTAAAAATAAATAACTCTGTCATAGAAGTTGAGATATATATTATTATTATTTCATGTGTAACTATTGGGTGGTAAGGTGATTACGTACATTATCAATTTATCTGTTACATGAGTTTAAACAAATAAATTAACTAAACACACATTATTAAAGGAATATAAATAACTATTAGCCATGGTAGTAAGGATATGCACCTTGTGTACTCGTTCCTTTCGAACATTGTGGATGCTACACCATGTAAAGACCTTTTTAGTTCGGCGAATATCATCCACCGTTCATCTAAAACTGACATCAGTTACAGTTTTCTAGGTAATCTTAGGACAGATGTGCTCACAATTCAACTCTATTCATAGTATTCAAAAAATGATAATTATAACTCGTAAAAAAAAAAAAACAAACAGTAATTGTGATTTTATTATTGAGTCAACAAGAAGTACAGAAAAAGAAGAAAAAAATAAGTATGGTAAGTGAGAACACAAATGAATGTGGTCCACAAGAAAAGAGAGAAAAGGGTAGAATAAAAAGAGGAAGGCCAATAAAGGGTAAGGGGATAATTGTCATTATAATAAATGAGCGTGAAGAAACAAACAGTTGAAGACAGGAAAAAAGGTTCTGCTGCTGCTCCTACTTATGCGGCCGCCAGCAATTTTATCGGCTGTGGAACCGGCTTTACTCTCGCCTCAAACCCCCCCACACCCACACCACCTACACGCTACTATCTTACTTTTTTTTACCACTTCTATTAGTACTGTATATCAATGGATAATTACCACTCTACCTTTACCCTTTTACTGCCAAGTGAGTATTTTATTATCTTTGCTTCTATTTTGTCTCTACTTATAAAGCATTATCTTGGACTGCTTTCCAACCTTGCTTTTTTTTATTGGCCTATTATAAATCACAAACTACCAACACTTACTATTTTATTTATTTATTTAGGCTTTTTATTTTGTTAAATTATAAATTATTTTTACTTAAAATTATTTGTACTTAATGAATTTTACTTGGCGCATGTTCTGATTTACTGAACTGAATTGAATAAAGCTGAAATGTATTGTTTATGAAAGAAAAAAATTAGGAGCTAAACTAAAATTAAACTGAACAAAACAGACCCTTATTGAATTTCTTTATCTCTTATTAATTAACACGTTTTAACTTTATATCCGAATGAGTTATTTTGACTTTCTTATGTAATTAATAAATTTTAAAAAAGCACATGTGTGATTTTATTAGATTCGTTTGAAAGTATGTTAGGGGAATAAAATGTCACTAGAACACTTAAATAAAAACAAAAGGAGTAATGCTTACTTTGCGTTGTAAAGATTTCAGCTTATATTTTCGAGATAAATGATTCAATTCCTACAAAGTGAAGTTGATGGAGTTGATATCATTTTTCGAATCTAAGATTGACATCAGTTACAGTTTCCTACAAAGTGAAGGGTATAATTGGCATCAAACTATTCAAAGAGTAATCTTTTACTTTTTATAAGATATGGAGGCCGGTAAGAATAAGATCTACTTAAACCTAAATGCAATAAATCAATTTAACAATAATAATAAAAAAATACTCTTTGTGTCCTACGATAATGGACACACCTGACCTTTTCTTTTCCCATCGACCATTTTTTTATATTATATAAATAAAATGTTACAATTATAAATAATATGTCGTTGGATTTATCTAATGGTATGTTAGTTCAATTATCAAGTTTTAATTAAAATATACTCCATCCGTTTTTAAATACTTGGGCCATTTCTATTTTTTGCACTATTTATTTGTCATACTTTGACTAATGTTTGTGATTTATACATAAGAAAAAATATAGTATTGTAGGTACTTGTTTGAAACATCTTAATGAATAGATTATTAATTTCCAATTGTTAGAATTTATACTTATTGGTAATTAAAGATATTAGTGATCAAAGATTAGCATCGTCATGCGTGTCTAAAAGAAATGGAGCAAATATTTAAAAACAGAGGGAGTATATAGTAAAAAAAAAACTAAAAAAAAAAACACACAATTTCATATATAGCTGGTTACACCATATAGCTAGGTTACTTGGTCAGAGGTCAATCGACTCGTCAATGATAACCTGGTTAGAGATTACTCGTGTGTCAGCTGGCCACACTATATAGCCACCTACATAAAAAAAAAAAAACGCGTTAAAAAAAGGTAAAATATATAAATAATTTTAAGACAAAAATAAATGGATAAAACGGAGCATTGTGGTAATTAAAGTGGTAACGGCCTTGGTGTATGCGACAATGCTCGGGTAGGCTGTTAGAAAGACAGAGGAGTCGTATTCCTAGTTTGTAGTTTTTCTTTTTATTTTTTAGGCACTGTCGTACTACTCTGTAATCAATCTACTTGTATTTCATATTTTCTCACACAAACCGGGACCCCCCCCCCCCCCTTCTCTTTCCCTCTCTCTCCCCCCCTTCTTCTTCACTTCCTTCTACGCCCATTTTTTTTTAATTTCAAAACTAAAAAGTAGCACTGCAGAACCAACCACAACCACTACACCATCTTCCTTCAAAACTCAAACAACCCAATTCAACCTCAACTCAACAAGAAGACCACATCGGAGAACAAGCAGCACCACCACCACCACATTATTACGCCGCCGCCTCCGCCGCCATTCTTCGGCATTACACCTTGTCTGTTACTTCTTCTTTCTGTCTCTCTCTTTCATTTCAGATCCTGCATTTTCCTTTTCCCCTTCATAATTACCATTCTCATCGTTCTTTCTCTTAACTTTTTTTTTTAACCTAACCTTTTTTTTTTTCATGAATGTTAATTCATAATTACCCTATTTTATTTATGTAATTTTAATTTTAATTATGTCCTCTGTCTTGTTCGTCTTTTTACAACTGAAGAAACCCCAGTTAATTTAATTTAATTTTTTTTTTTTTGTACTTTTACATTCTAGACGGACTTGTAGATTCTTATGTTTTTTTTTTTTTTCTTTCCCTGTTTACATTTGTACGGTTTCCATTATTTTTAATTTATTTTAACTACTTTCTTTGGCTTCTGTGTGCTCATTCGGACAATTTTTGTCTTTCCTTCCTCTTTTACTCATCACTTAATTATACTATTAAAAAAAAACAAATTATTGAGAAGAGAAAGGATGTAATTACTAGGTTTTTGTTTTTTTGTTTTTATTTTTATTAAAAAAGAAAAAGAAAAAAAAAAGGGATAATGGGGTTGTTGTTTGTTTAGAAATTGAAGTGTTTGTTGTGTTGTGCAAATAACATTAATAGTTTATCAACAGTTTGTTTGTTAGTTGTAAATGAGGTTGAACAGCAATTAAGAAGCTGCTATATTTGGTGATTATAACAGGAATACCTAATTGTTGGTACACAACACAATGAATCAGAATCCTGCAATGGAGCTTTATTATGCCAACAACACTACCTCTGCTTATCCAAACCCTTATCAACACCAACATTCTGATCATTTCATGGGCTTTTTCGACGGCCTTGCTCACCCCAATGTCAATCCCGTTTCCAACCCGAACCCGTCTCTTGCTTATGTTTACCCTCATGTCCCTATGCCTAATCACCAGGTATGTTTTCGTTATCATACATTTTCATTTGTTGAGTCTTGTAGATGACTATGCTCGTACTCGTTTACTTTGTGTTGCTCGATTTAAGGATTTTTGGGGCTTGTTGTTGACACATTGTAACAGTATTTGTTGTGGTGTTGTCAAATGTGAAGAGTGATCATGCTTTCTGAATGCTTGTACTCAGTCATTTTAGCAATGCTCGATCATTCTTGACACAATGTAACAGTACTATTTTGTTGAGTTGTTGTCAAATGTGAAGGTGATCATGTTTTATGTTGTTGGTCAATGATTGATGAAACTACTTGCTAAATGCATCAATTATTTTATCAGAGCAAAGGTTAATTGTGTCTTACAATTGACTCTTTCAACTAGGACATTTCAACCAGGCCAACTTTTTAACGATTAGTCAACTAATTATGTAGCATATTCCTTGTTGCTTCTTCAGGAAACTGCATATTGGTCAATGAATATGAACTACAACAGATCTGATTTCTCTGATGTCGGAACTACTTCTTATTATGGTTACGATGTTACCAATCCTTTGCCAAGAACCGAAATTAATCGCAGGACTTGGGAGTATTCTCCTTCTATGCACATTGAAGAACCAACCATGGTCATGCAATCCCAAGAAAATGTAGTTACAACTTCAGATGCTGCTGAAGAATGTGAGTTTGCCAATGTCTTGCTTGTTTTCTGGTTACAAGTCATTAATCAATTTGAGAATTTCTGTCTTTGTTTTCTTTTCAGTTTGAACACTTTTTGGGAGATATTTTTTCCCAAAACTTTCAGATGCTTTTATGCCATATTGACCTACAATATTTGCCATATTTTTCAAAACAATTTGACCTTTCCTTATTTTGTCAGGAATTGATTTGTCTGCTACTTTTGATCTAATTTGACACATATTTTCTCCATGTCTATAGGTCCTGATGACGATCAAGACGATGATAATCCTGAGGTATGAGTCTGCATCATAGCTATTTTCAGTAATGCAAGCAAGATTTCATTGTCTGCTTGTTAGTTGAAATATGGTCAATATATGTGTAAAATTTATTGAAACATAATTAGTACTTAGGATTTGCAGATAATTCTTGTGATTTGTACTTGCTTAATCATCCTTTTGACTCTAAGACCATTATCCTGTGAGGTGGAATCTTGGTGTGGTTGATTGCTTTTGTTGGTTAGGCAACAAAGGGGCCTTACTACTGTCTATTTTGTTACAGGTTGCTTGGCAAGATGACGTTGATCCTGATAGCATGACTTACGAGGTTTGTTCCCATTTTACATGGCTTATCTTCTTCTATAATCCAATTTCGTGATAACTGCTTATATAAATGTAAAGTAGTTATTTTGCCAACTGCGATGGCGTCTCATGCAGCTTGGCTTGTGGTGTAGGGTATTTGTGATGCCAATATAGTCGATACAGTTCTAAATTGGGAACATTGAAGCAGAGATCTGCCCAATGGGTGCGTAGCTTGTGAAAGATGCTATGTTTGATGTTGGATATCCTAATTACGTAGAACTCCTTGTTTTAAATTGGACAAATTCACTGGTTAACTAGAAGTTGCTTTTGTATGTACAAAGCAAGTGGCTGATTTTGTGCTTTTAGCTGTTTTGTTCCGTGCATGTAATTTCTTACTGTTCATTGTCTAACTCTTTTTGTGGACAACTATTAAATTCTGCTCTACCTCATCTCTAAAAGTAATATAGTGCTGAAGTCACCCTTACAAGCTGCCATTTGAAGAACCCAGGGGAAAATATTATGCGTCATGGCTTAATATGCATCTCTGCATGACCTCTCCTTGCCTTTGGCCCCTTGCTGTTATAGTTTTTAGTCACACCACTGTTTCTGAACGAACAAATTTGATCTTTGCTTATCAAGAAGGGGCCCTGATCCCTTATGCTGCTTTTCTTTTGTGTATGATTTAAGTTTATGCATAAAAGGTGCATGTGAATTTGTGTGCAAAAAAAATACTTGTCGTTGTTCTATATATCCGAGTTTAGTTGGTGAGTGAATAAATCTCTTGTTGCAGGAATTACTTGACCTGGGTGAGGCAGTAGGAAGTCAAAGTCGAGGTCTTTCTCAAGAACTTATCAAGTTGCTTCCAACCTCTAGATATAAGGCGGGTGGTTTTTTCTCAAGGAAAAAATCCAGAGAAAGGTAATATTTTCAGATAAGTGCTATTTTCTGCCAAGAGTCAACAAGCTCCGTTTCATCTGTCATGTCTTGTGATATTATTCTGCTGTCTCACGTAGTATCAGTGGAAAAAAACACTTAAATTTTTCTCGTGTCATGATTATTATGCTGCTGAAAGTGCAGAATGACTTATAAAGGAACATTTTGATGTCATGATTATGTATCACCATTAGTGTCTCTGAAATGGTGCTCCTTGAATGTGTCGCTTCATTGGTTCTTTGAGATAGACAGAGACCGCAAGCCTTTGTATCCTAGTGTACATGAAATTCCTTTCTAAAATTGCCAGCACTTCTCGGTGTTTAGAGATAAATAAATGTTAAAACAAGTACCTGGATCTATAAGACATATCATAGAGTACTCTTATCAATGAGATTAATTGAAGTAGTTGGGCATGGTTAGTCATTAATTGGGGTCACTATGCATGCCTTCGACAAGTTCTTAACGCACAATTAAGAAGTAGGGCCTTTGCTTCATAAGTTAAAGTTTTTTTTGGCATGAGCTTTACAGCTTTACCTATGTGCTTCTTAAGGGGAATTACCTCTCTATTGCTGCTGCTTGATAAAAACTGTCGAAGGACTGGCATTTTACTTAATGAAGTTGCCTTTAAAGGAAAGTGTGTTAATTAAATGATGCATTGAAGAAGTTTTTAGTGTAATTATATCATGCAGGCTTTCTGAGTTATCTCATTTGTGGCATATAAACTTCTTTGCTGTCTCATATTTGCTTCAATGCAAGAATACTGTGGTTATCATCATTATTGAACTAAAAATTTTGGGCAGATGCGTAATATGCTTGGTTACATACAAAATTGGGGACCAACAAATGACATTGCCATGCAAGCATGTATACCACTCCAAATGTGGGAGGAAGTGGCTCAGCATAAATAAGGTAAACTAGGGTCAATAGAACTAAACAGATGTGTGTATTTTGTGTACATATATCCTTTTGGCACATTTTTCTGATATGGTCTGTTTTGTTGTTATCAGACATGTCCGGTTTGCAATAGTGAAGTGTTCGGGGATGAAGTAAGGAATTGAAAACATTATTGGGCAAGCGTACAGATACAAGCTTAGTTTTTGTGTTGTCATCAATTTTGTTCTTGGTTCCTGGTTTTTAGGTACAGAGAGCTGATTTTGAATTTACGGCTATATAGTCACCCCCTCCTCTTCTTAATCTAACTGATATATGACCAGTTATGTCTCGTGGTACTCAGAATCTAATATAGAGAGAAAAAAGTTCTAAATGTTGCCTACTACTCCTATTATTCCCTTCTTCTCTTGGCCAATGTTATTAGATTATTACCTCGTTGCATCAGACATCAGTGCCAAGTGGCTGGGATCTGTGCACTATAGATAGGGTAAGGTACTCAAATGTAATGTATGATCTCATTATATCTTTGATCGGAGTTATATAATTGACAATATTACTGCTAAACAATTAAGGAGTATAGGGTAATTGACAATGTTGCAGTCATATATTCATGTTTAATAATTTTGCAGGAGTAACTATAGTATGGCAATCTAGCTATAGATTATTAATCAGCTTCCCCGTGATCCTTTGGGAGTCTGGGGCTGTTACCGTGTTGTGTATGTCATTTGAGGGAGCAATTGTACACATTGAAAATTTGAAACGCTCTATGGAAGCTGCTAGAATCTTAAGATGCTGATTTATATTGGTACGTTTGCTAGTACAAGTAGTGTCATTTCTCTCATGGTGGGTATGTTAATACAACCAACTATAACAATATTTAGTTATTTTTTTTTATTTCCAAACAAGTTACTGTATAAGAATTTTTTTAGTAAAAATATAATTTGGAAATAAATATCAAGCTCTAAAAAAGAATTTTGATGAGGAAATTTTGTATCTCTTGTGGGTTATGTATTGGGTCAGACAGAGTGAGTGTAGCCACTGTAACATGACACAAGCCCATGGCAAAATGAGTTATAGTTTGTGCATAAAACATTGTTTTTGATAATCAGCCAGCAATTTTTTTTCCTCCGTATGTATTTTTATCGGTTTATTTTGTGCAATCAAAGCATAAACTTTTTTTCCGTATACTTAGGGTCTGTTCACATAAACTGAACTGAGCTGAATTGAATTGATTGGAACTTAACTTACTTGAACTTAACTGAGTTGAAATGAATATTTTATGAGAGAAGAAAATTAGGAGCTGAACTGAACTGATTAGAGCTGAACTGAACTGAACTGATTGGAGCTAAACTGAACTGAACTGAACTGAAATTAAGTAAATGTGAACAGGCTCTTAGGCACTTAGCACAAGTTTTTTTTTCTAGGCTTCACAATTGGAGTATTAAGCACATCTATTGAGAATCAAATCGCGCAGCGCATTGGATAGCTACTGTAGGTCATTTAGTGTGTAGTATATTGATAATTGTAACAACTCTAGTTTGTTTTCTAATCTTTCTTTGACACATTAGGAATTTCCCTGTAAAGAGGGTTTTCTTATGTTTATTTTTTCACTTTTTAAAATAAAATAATAATAAAAAACTTAGTTTGTAATTTTTTTTTTTATTAAAAGGTAAGGAGGATCCTAACCGGCTAACCGTATCTCAATTCTTAGATTTTTTTTGGTCATGTATTTACTGGTCAAACGCTTCGAGAGTGAGGGGGAAGGGTAAGGGATCCTCACCTTCAAAGTGTCTCTAGTAGAGACTGATCCCCACCGATTTATAGATTATCATGGGAGTGTGTATAAGTAATAAAAAAAAAACTGTCCTATTTATACTCTGTAGTCTGTACATTGTAAAATACAACTGGTTATACAATAAAAATTACTGTGGGAGTGTATAACGGGGCCAAACCATTGTTTTGTTAGTGCAATGGAATTGTGGGCTACAAAAATGGTGGTATGAGTAGGCCCAAGAAATGAAAAAAAGAAAGAGAAAAGCCAGGTAAGAGAGTTGCAACGGTCGAAAAGTAAATGAAAGACTCAGAAATCAGGACATTGTCTCCTTTCATCACATTCTCTTTAACGTTGCTTCCCTCCTTTTTTATTCTCCAACGTTACAACTATCAATATCACCAACCCCCCCTTTTTCTCTCTCCTCCATTTTCAGTTGTCCTGTATTTCATCTTTCCCACTCTCATCAATCATTCCAGTAGCTTCCTAGCTACATATATTCTTGAATCACTCAATTAATAATAAAGAAGAAAGATAGAAAATGGAGGCTGCTAAGATCGATTGGAAGAACATTGAATCTGTGTTCGTGATTGATCAAGTTTTCGAGAATATTAATGCTCCCAAATGGGTTGATTTCTTGGCTTCTCCTTCTTCTTCTTCTTCTTCTTCTTCCTCTTCTGATGATGTCGCTTGGTTTTGCCGCCCTGGTATGCTTTTCTTGCCATTTTTGAAGTAATTAATTAATCTTAATTTGTTGTTTCCTTAATTGGGATTTCTGTTCTTGAGTTTCCAGATTGTAAGCATCCTGCAACTGCTGAAGATTTCCTCAAATCAACCCCTTCTTCTTCTTCTTCTAAGGTAACTTCTTCTCTTTCTATTCTTGATTATAAAAATGGGGTTTTGTTTCTTTTATTGGAATTGAATTTGAGATTGTATACTTGCAGTTGTTGAGATCTGTTAGTGTATCGAAGCTCATTGGACTTGCCGATTGGACACGAAAAGAACCCACTCTTTTCAAGAGGCGTATTCCACCTAATCAAGATTCTGAAAATCAAAACCCTAATTTCTCAACTCCTCAATATACTTCCCAAAAGGATGAATTTGATGAAAAACCCAGATTAAAACCCACTAATTCTGCTAAAGATTTGTTTGGTGGGAGGGACCTTTTTGGTAAAATCAGTGATTTCTGTAATGAGTTGAAGAAGATTACCAAAATTAGGGACAAAGAGGATGAGAACCCTGAGGAGGAACAGGAGGATCAACCCCTGCACCAAGGACAAGGGCCTCTTAAACTCAATGCCAATCACTCTTACAAACCATTAGGCTCGGTCCCGGTTGCCGCCCTCGCTCCCGGCCTTAAACACAAGGAGAATAGGATGAATGACAGTGATAATAAGGAAAGGAAGCCTTTGCTTCAGGTTAAATCTGAAGGTGCACTCAAAGCCAATGCCAAGCCTAAACTCAGGAGAAACATGTATGTTTGTCTTACTTATGCTTGCTACTTTCTTATGTACTGTTATATTGGGCTGATGTTTCAATTGTGTATGTTTCAGGAGAGATGATGAATCAGAGAATATCCCTATTTCTCTGAATTTGAACAATGTTAAGCGCGAGGCTAAGGTATCGCCCATACGCACGAATCCTCCTACGCCTCAGGGGTTTTCAGCTACTCGTGATCCTATCAAGGCCACACCTTCGAAGGGACCAAAGTCTAAGCTCATGGTATGGATCAAATTTCTATATTACTAATGCCTGAATTGATCATTTGCTGGCTTGCTGCACCTTACAGTTTGTATTCTTAATGCTGGTGTATTCTTTTCTTGTCAAGTTGTGAGATTGATTCCAATGTTGTTACTTGAAATTGCACAATCAAACTATGCAAGGCCTACTTTTGGCATAGTGTACTGTACCACCAATGTTAACAAATTAACATGCTAATCTTAGTCTATGCTACTGTTGCCTGTCCTTTTGATGGTGCAAAACCAAGTTCTGTTTGGCTGAATCTTACAATAATTTGAGCCTCTTGATCAGTGTTTCCCTGTTATTCTTCCTTGCCAAACAGCATAAATTCTGCAACGCGTGTTTATCGAAATCTACTTATTAACACTGATTGTTTTATTCTACCAGGAAAGGGAGATTTTACAAGAATTGGGACAGAAGAAGACACTGAGGGATGAGCTTGACGAGAACATTGAGAAGAGTGAAAACGAGAACGCATCTCTTGTTGCTGCAAAAGAAGGAAGAACATTGGATGTGTTCTGGTTCTTAAAGCCTTGCACACTGTCTTAATGAACACAGTTTTAAGCATAATCATTCTTTAATTTTTTTTTTTTCATATATATCTCTAGTTTTTTTGTGGGGTGAAAGAAGAACAGAATCCCAATAATCCACTCAATTTGTTAAATAGCAGTACATCTGTAGGTTTTGTGTTTATGTAGCTTTCTATTCTTACATTATTCATTTGTCTATGATTATCTAATAAAGGATACACATTTCAAGCATTGTACTCCATAGTCCATAGTTGGTGAGTAATATATTTGATTTCTTCATTTTTACATAACACATCTCTGTATCGTCGGCGATATGATTGGTCGAGTTGTTAATTGTGACTGATTTTTCATTGCTTTGTTAACCTTTTTGAAGATCATTAACATGGTGATGATCTTGGACTGAATAATTTTCAACTATTCCTGTTTAACTTGACCTTTTATCTATAACACAATATGAGATATGACAAAAAAAAAAAAAGTCTAGGAAAATCAGGTAATTTGGAACTTAAACTTTAGATGTCACCTTAGAAAAGCAAGGACGAGTCCATGTGAAGCCACGTGAACTAATTGAACTCAAAAGTCCCAAACAGATAGAGACTAGACTTGTCTTTAATCATCCAAAGTTGTAAAGCTCGTTTGGTATGTACCAAGTAATAATGTAAAGGAAACCATTATGTTCATGGAACCATGGCTTTACGGTCCTCAAATAATTCGAGGGAGCCCCCAATTGATGAGAAACAAAAATTGTTTACGAAAATGCCATTCTAACTTAGATGTTTAGTTAATTTATTTACGAAACTGTCATTGAATAAACGATTTTTGTTTATCACGAAAATAAACTTGTATTTTTTCAAATAATTCTATCTCTAATATTTCATTTTCGTAACAAAGTTACATACAGATACATAATCAAAATTGAAAAGCAGCTAAAAAGGAAACACAGATTCAGGGGGCAGAAAGCAGGAAAGAAAACAAACAAAAGAGCAGAAAATTACAAGAGCTAAAAACAAGCTTGAAGATCGATTATTTTGACAAATTTCAACTAATATACATGTTTTGAAATTGTATATGAACACAAGTTAAATCAATAACAGAATACTTGTATTGATCTAAGCTCTGCAAACAAAGAGGATGCACTATTATTGCATAATTACAAGGCAAACTATCTAAAACAAATCAGAAGCAGTAAGAATAATCAAACTGCTTTAATCACAAATCCCACCTATATACTCTGCTTCCTACTACACACCTAAACCCAGAAACATCTAGATTTTCATTATTAGCAAGGTCGGTTACAAAACCAACCCCCCAAAAAAAAAAAAAAAAAAAAAACAAAAAAGAAATTCGGGTATGTACAGAAAATACTCTGATTTCGTGATTGTGATTATTCAACCATCAAATTAGCGAATTGCAGCTTCTTCATCCAGAAAATTCAAAACTTTAGCACCCAATTAAATTGAAAAAGAAAAAGGTGAAATTGTAAATTGGATCTAGTTGGTGGAGGAGGAAGCAGCACGGAGCAAGAACCTAAAGGCACGGCGGAATCGAGGTACCACCCTTGTTCGATATCCGCTCGTCTCTCTCATCAATTCTTGAATTGCCGACACAAAGAGCGTCAAGTGTCTCATCGGCGGCACGTAAAGCGTAAGTGGCACCGCCGAGAACGCCACCGCAAAGAAGAATTGTACCACCATGATTAGTTTCCCGCGGTAATGGTAATTATTATGGCGTTTAATTTGGGTTTGAAGACGAAAATGGAGGATATTGAGTCATGTCATGTGTGTTTGTCTGTCTAGAAATAAATGGGATGACTTTCAACCTTCTTATCTTGTTCATTTTTATATACGTACTAATTTATATTTTTAATAAATACGAGTATATTCTAAAGTTTGGAGTTAAAAATGTTACAATGGGCTACGCTCTCTTAATGAACGCGTGACAATTAATTTGATCCGCTAATTTTTTTATTTTATTTTATTATTTTTTTTTAAAGGGGAGATTAAAATTCATTAATAATAAGCCATACGGCACTTACATAAGAAATCGTAATCGAACAATACAAAGACAAAAGAACCAATTACAAGTTCGAAATAAAGGAAACTACAATTGCACGCGCAAAATGACTTTCTAAAATACCCTTGGCTCATATAACGTTGTCCTATGCAGCCTCTTGCAAGGGGGTCTGACAATATGTTGTAGTTTCTGACGTGAACCTTCATTGGCTCAAAATCCTGTACTCCTCGACCTGAAATCAAAATTGGTGTCGTACACTTCACCATTGATAAGACAATCTCTGATTTAAACATGGATATCGGCATGGAAGCATAACCCTTTAGCCCAAACCAACAGAAAATCAAACCAAAGCCCCATAGCCAAAAAACCCGGCTCAAATCCTACACCAGAAGATCGGTACATCGATCTGCACACCCCTTAGCACACCAACACACCACACAAAAGAAAAAAATAACTAACCCAAATAACATACAAAGGCGGAAACAGGAAACCCAAACACTACACACACCACTAATAGAAAAAACAGGAAAAAACTTAAAAATAAGAACTACGTGCCTATACTAACTTAAAAGTATATTACTAACCTCAATCTCTACGTGCCTATACCTTGCAACTCCATGTCCTTTTTTCTTTTCTTTTTAAAATCACAACTTCATCATAATCTCCTTGTCAGTCGTGGCTTTTTGACATGCTATCTATACTTTATTATATATTAAAATGTGTTTCTAATACAAACACCAATAACAAATGAATTAATAATCTTATCGTCTTTGCCATCTTTTAATTATGATTCATGTTCAATCATAATACACTAAATACGGAGTACTTTAATATATACTCCCTCCGTCTAAAAAAGAATGACCCATTTGCAAAATTAGAATATACTCCAATTATCAACTATATTTGTGCAAAATTAGCTTCCCCATATAAAAATTTGATTTTCCATGTTATTTTATTACTTTCTCTCTCTATTTTTTTTACAAACCCCATGTAAATTTATCTTTCCAATATACTTTTACTTCTTTTTACTTAACTTCCTTAATACCCGCGTAATCAACCCAAATAGGCCGTTCTTTTTGGGACGGAGGGAGTAGTACATAACATAACATCAATTCGAGAGCTTTTTTTGTAAGAGTGTTTGTTTTTTAGTTTCATTAGTTATAACTATTCACTATGGAGTATTTTTTATAATTATACAGTTTATGATTTTATAGCTCAAATATTATATTTTGATATTCAAAGTAAATTCCGATTAGTGTTCGGGTCACACAGTAGTTATTCTATTAAAAAAAGGCCTAATATTAAATCATAGTCCAACATCTTTAATAGGACAATTACTTTATTAGTTGTGACTTTTTATAAATATAATGTTTATACAATATAATAAATTAAGGGGAATAATCAACGAATTTGTTACAGTATATGAAAACTACCATGCAGAGTACAAATTGAATATTTATATGAAGTACTTCATAACATCATGAATCATGATCGTTACGTTTTTAACTTTTACCTCCATTATAGGTTATGTGCAACGATTTGACATAAAACAGATGCAGTATTTTGGTACCCAGCTAAGTTCTTGTCAATTTTTTTTTTTCACTAAGCTATCAATCACTACAGATTTACAGTCTTATGGGGTAATTTATTTGTGAACGACTGAACGTAGAGTGAGACCAAGGGAATTATGAAATAAACACTTCGCGCTGAGGGTGGAGGTTTTGGGGCTGGAAAAGAGTGAGAAGCAAAATTTGGAAATGTGTAGATGGAGTGGTCAGCAGTTTCTAGAATCTCAAGGTCCAGATGAATCGTCAGGCCAATAAAATTGGGCTTAATTTTAAAAATTGGGCTGATTAAAGGCCCAATATTACAGGGCCGATCTGATAAAAAAAAAAAAAAAACTGTAATCAGGTGTATCGCAGAATCGGGGTTCATCTTTCAACGAAGAAGAAGAAAAGCAAGCAAACCCTTAATTCTTCATTTCTCTCTCTCATTTTGAATCATCAATCTTATTGAAGAAGAACAATGGCGATGTCTCAGCGAATCAAATCAAGCCTTCCTCTGATTCAGAAATTTGTTGCATCTGAATCGCTTTCTTCTGGAAGATCCAGTTTTCAGAAGACTCTTTTTAACCCTAATGTCGTCAACGATCAGGTATTTTCTTAGATTTATAAGTTCTCAGATTAAATTAGGGGTTATTGATTTTGGGGATGGAAATTTAATTGAATTCATTTTTTTTTTCGTTTGTCGTAGATTAATTTGGGGATTTGATTTATTCCAATTATTTTTTGATTTTTTCTATGTCAGAGAAACTATGCTACATCAGCTCCCGCTAAGAAGGAAGAAATAAGGGTAACCATTTAAGCTTCAACTTTTTTTTTTTTGTTAGTTTTGTTATGTTTGTCCTGCTGATATGCAGTATAATTCCATTATATTCTCGTTGTTCTGCTTTAGTTTGAATATTATCGGGATTAGGTATTCCAGCCTTGGTATTAAGGGTGATTTATAGATGCTTCGATTTTGTTAGGTATAAATTCATGATCTTAGCTTCAATTTGAGAGAGCTTCTAGATTACCAGGGAAATCATGTTAATTTAATTGCTCATACTATTTGCTTAGACCTCTTCTGCTCACTTCTAAGAAGACGACTTGTTACCCATTGGTATAGGATCACTTAAGCCCGTAATTTGACTGTCCATTCGCAGCATCATCAATGTAGATGTCTCTATGGACATGATATGTTTTATTTTAAGAATTAAAGCTAGTAAATTTGTTTATAAATTTATAGTATTTGTGTTATTGGAATCTCAGTAGCCTTGCCATTCTCGTCGTTTGTCAAATCATTGCTTTTGACTCTCTTCTTTTTAGTTCTTTAGTACATCCAAATTACACAAGTTCATCTGAATGTTTTGTTTTGCTTAAAAAAAGTTGGTTTTACTTGAAGGGTTCATTTTTTTTTGGTGGAACCCAAATCACGAGCTCTCAATTTTCCAAGGACTCATCATTAGTAACGACCCTTGCTCACTTGTTGATTTTAGGAATAATCAAGCGTTAGATCATGCATAGAAATAAAAAAGACCAATATCAGTTCCAGCATAGCAAGACGCCAAGACCCAGTAGTTACACCCTCTAGGAAGTGTTAAATGAAACCGCCATTAAGTTATACATCAGCTAACCTTCCAAATTTTGTATAGTATGTCCTTGTGGAAGGAGAGTTCTAATGAATGGATGCTATTGTAGAAGCTTTGCTTGCTAAATGTAGGCATAATTTTTTA